CTCAAATAAATAGAAAGGGCCACATAGTGTGATATCCTTAGGTATCTTTATTATAGGCACAGGATAGCAGGAAAACCAACATACAAAATAGTACTGACCAGATGCAAATCAAAGATGGCCGCCGGGGGCCCCTCGTGGCGCCGGCGGTGAGGTGTCCAACCTGCTGTAGCTTTCCTGACGCGTTTCGAGCGAAGGCTCATACTCATAGGGGTGCAGCTTACAGTGGTGGACGCAAATGACAATGTTTAAATACGAACGATGGCGCATGCGCAATACGTCGTGCGCCATCTTTCCTATGCTGGATGTCCGCGCGACGGGCGCCATTTTATTGTAGCCCAACCCGATGGCGCATGCGCAAACGCCCTGTCATCGGGTACGCGGAGACAAACAGCAGAAACGAATGCTATGAGCACCAGGGATGATCCAATCAATAATTTAACGCTATAGGTCACCTATGTGGAATCAAACCAAGATAATATGACTATGGGCAAAGACAATAATGGATCTTAATTAACAGATCCAAAGTCATGTTATATAGCCCATATTTATCGCAACAATAATACAAATATATAAATACTTCGTATGAATAACTATAATCACAAAAAAATGAATCAAAATAAAATATAAAATGTAAAATTAAAAGATTATAATTCATGTGAGAACCTGGTGGTCATGCATATATAGATATTGGCAAATATATAAAATCTGCCAAACATAAATATAAGCACATCATAAGTACCCATATATATGAAAATTATATCTGAATACTATGAAGCCAGAAATACATAAATCAACAATATATATAATCGATGCAGATATAAAATAATACATACATCTATAGACCCGTCGATCATTAGTGCATGCAGAATGTTAAAATAATAAAACATTAAATATTGGAATAACCTGAATAACAAGAATATATCGTCATAATGACAGGAGAATAAAACCATATAATGTTACATGAAATACACACTAGAATCAATAGCAAAAATTCATATGTATATATATATAGAAAGATATCTGGATGGTCCTAATTAGCTGTTATCAATAAAACTATTGATATCCAGTTCTATATTAAGTCCATTGGGGCGCATGCAGTCCATCTGGAATATCCATTTCGTTTCCATTTGCGAGACTGCTCTTTTTTTATTTATGCCTCTCCAATGGGCAGGGAGTGTGTGCAGCAGAGGAGTGCGGAGGATATGACAGCAGGGAGTATGTGCAGAAGAGGAGTGCGGAGGATATGACAGCAGGGAGTATGTACAGGAGAAGAGTGCAGAGGATATGCCAAGGAGAGGATTGCGGAGGATAGGACAGCAGGGAGTATGTGCGGCGGAGGATAAGACAGCAGGAAGTATGTGCAGGAGAGGAGTGCGGAAGATAGGACAGCAGGGAGCATGTGTAGCAGAGGAGTGTGGATGATATGACAGCAGGGAGTATGTGCAGCAGATGAGTTTAGGGGATATGACAGCAGAGGAGTGTGGAGGATATGACAGCAGGGAGTATGTGTAGCAGAGGAGTGCAGGGGATATGACAGCAGAGGAGTGCGGAGGATATGACAGCAGAGGAGTGCGGAGGATATGACAGCAGAGGAGTGCGGAGGATATGACAGCAGAGGAGTGCGGAGGATATGACAGCAGAGGAGTGCGGAGGATATGACAGCAGGGAGTATGTGCAGCAGAAGAGTGCAGTGGGAATGACAGGGAGCAGCCTGTGCAGTAGAGAATGACAGTGAGCATTATGTGCAGGAGAAGACACTGAAGGATATGACCACACTAAGAACAGTTTATCTTTTAACTCACAAATGGTGGTTTCTGATCTTTCTGTAAATAACAACAATTGCTAAAAATATGGTCAAAATCATACAGGTAAATGGCAGAGGTGGAGAAATGTATACAAAACTGTATTTGGCAACCCTTTTACAAACCTAAGTGCATGGGAGCTGAACTCTTTACACAGAGGCCTTACAGAGGAAGAAATGGGCCCACTGCAATTGAAGCAGGTAATTCTGGGACAGTGATGGTGGTAGGTATTGTGTCAGCAGCACCACAAACTGAGAACATGGTGAAGAGGATACTGAAACAAATGGGTAACATGTCAGTGGAACTGGGTGCAATGAAGGTTGAAAAGGAGACACCAAAATGTAATTAAATTATTAGCAGAGACTATATCATAGAATCCAGGAACACTGGAGGTAGTGCTGCGAGCATGTGAGATAGGGCATTGCTTTGTTGCCAAGGGTTTTTGAAACAAGAAATGGGGCAGTGGAGCTGAGATTCCTACTGGACCGTATATTGCATTGTGTGAATTTTTAGGGAGGTGTTCCTTTTTTCAGTTGCTTGCCTCCTGGAGTAGCAGCTAGCCTTAAGCACAATTAAGGGTCAGTTGTCAGTATTGTCGGTTTTGTTTCAACGCTCACTGGCATTGCTGCCACTTGTCCTTACCTTCATTCAGGCAGGTGTGTGTGTGTTGTTCTCTTGGTTGTCGCTGTGGGACTGGGACTCAAAATGCCTTTCAAGAACATCAGAGAGATCCCACTGCTAACATTGTCGCAGAAAGTGGCTTTTCTAGCTTTCAATTCGGCATGCAGGGTATTGGGACTGGGGGCATTGTCCTGCAAGTCTCCATATTTATCGTTGTGCAAGGATAAAGTTGTCCTGCATACAAGAGACAAGGACTTTAAGCTTCCATCTCTTTGCCCTAAACCAGTTTACCCTAAGGAAGTGGCCTTACACACAATTGGGGTGTACCTGAATGCCACTGCTGGGTTTCATAAGACAGGATTTCTGTTCATGCTTCCAAGGGTCTTGCAGCAGAGACTATTATCTCATGCTGGATCCGGGAAACCATTGTACAAGCGAGTGCCATCAAGCACCAAGAACCACCATTTACAGAAATGGCTCACTCAAGCAGGGACGTAAGTGCATCCTGGGCTTTCTACCACTGGGCATCAATATTAGCGGTTTGTAAGGCAGCCATTTGGCAGTCTGTTTATGCAGTCACTATATTTTACAAGGTGGATGTGGCAGCATTGGCCGATGCCAGTTTTTTTATTGTTGTGGGTTTAGTAACACCTTAATGCAGATAAGTTGAAAAATTGATGGGATAAGGCTTCTTCTGTGGGATACGGAAGAAAGACTAATATTTGTGTACCTGTGTGTGTGCCCTTGCCAGAGAAGGGATACAGGAAAAAGACCAATGTATGTTAATGTGTGTGTGGTGGATGTAGGATCTCACAGGAGAAGAACCAGGAGGAGGCTGATTTCCACAGTGTCAAAGTGAAAGATGAGCTAAGAAATAATATAAAATATAGAGGTAATACATATTCTCACATCATATTATCTTCTAAACTATGATTGTTTTCTTTAATAAATTGCTCACTGTAATCAGATAGAATTTGCTTGTTGTGATGATTAGTGTATTTTTGTTCAACTGTTTGTTCTCTTCCTGTACACTGTTTGTAAAAAACAGATAGATCTTCATCGTATAGCCTACCCTACTAAGTGGTCATCTTTTTTATGTGTGGTTTAAAATAGTTCAGTAAACAAACTATACTCACCGGCCACCTGTTCAGTTACTTGATAACACAAATTGCTAATCAGCCAATCACATGACAGTAACTCAATGCATTTAGGCATCTAGATGTGGTGAAGACAAATTGCTGAAGTTCAAACTGAGCATCAGAATGGGGAAGAAAGGGGATTTAAGTATCTTTAAACGTGGCACTGTTGTTGGTGCCAGACAGGCTGGTCTGAGTATTTCAAAACTGCTGATCTGGGATTTTCACGCATAACCATCTATAAGGTCTAGAATGGTCTGAAAAAGAGAAAATATCCAGTAAGCTGTAGTTGTGTGGATGAAAATGCCTTGTTTATGTGAAAGGAGAATGGGCAGACCGGTTGTTGCGACATTCAGATGGTAGGGTCAGAATTTGGTGTAAACAACATGAAAGCATGGATCCATCCTGCCTTGTATCAGCGGTTCAGGCTGGTGATGATGGTGTGGGGGATTTTTTCTTGGCACTAGCAAGGTGTACCAAATAAAGTGGCCGGAGAGTGTACATTACCAGGTTTCACCTGTGGAGAACTATGAACTTCCATCTGAACTCTAAGAAATACCATCTCTGTACATTGTTATTTGAGATCAGCTGTTAGGAAGTATATTTTTAGCAGGGGAACTTTTAATTTTTGAGTCTTAAACCCAAAATCAAACATTTACTATATTAAAGCTCACCATTTCTTACAGTAGATGTGGAGGCTCCATTCATTTTCTTTCTTAGACTTTCTCTAGCTCTCTAGCAGAGTGTATCTGTTACATCTGTTAGATGACAAACCTTTTAACACTAGCAGGGCTGCTGTAGTACCTTTATCCCAAAAGGAAAAAAACTGTTTTCTGTAACTCCTTATAAAGTATTCGCTGGAGTTTGGCTTCAATTTGTTTGGCTTTTTAAATCTTCAACTACATCTAACTCTCCCCTTCCCCCAGACTGACAGTGCTGCTGTTCAAAGGTGTCCCTGTGCTCCTTCATCCAGAGTGGGGGAACTCTAAGGTAGGAGGTGTGTTACTGGCCAGATCACTAGGTGAATGCAGAGGGGAAAAAGCCTAAGAAAAGAAAACTAATGCAGCCACAACATCTGATGTTTAGTAAGCTGCAGCATATTAAACTTTTTGGTTTTGGGTTTAATGCTGGTTTAATATAAGCTACTCTAGAATTTTTTATTTTTTTTGTATTGTTTGGGAAGGTTTAGAATGTCTGTCAGTATTTTTTCTATCAACCCTAATACAGAGATTTTGCCTCACTTTCTGTACCTTTTGATGGCAGTAAAAACGGTCAAGGGCTGTATCTGTCCCCACTTTGTTCAGAATTGTAAAGAAATTCAGCTGGATTTTTACTTTCAATATTACAAATTATTAAGCATGGTCACCTCATCTTCAGTATTATGAAAAAAATGTTTGAGTGCTTTTCCAAAGAATAACATATAATTTTTTTGTATTCTTAGACCCACCTACCTCCCATGGGGTTGCCACTGTCTCACAGTAAAAAAATGAACAAACAAGACAAGATGAGGAAGCAAGCTAAGCCTCTGTATCTGAAATCGTATGATGAGATCTCCTAGTGCCTGCAGGATGGGGGAGATGGAGGGGGGGGGGGGGGGGGGGGGGGGGGGGGGGGGGGGGGTCAGACTGCCATCCTTTTCTGTAGCCACACTCTTGTCTGCAGATTATAAAAGCCAGACTAGCAAGATCTAAATACTGGGGCTGCAAATATAAGTATGAACTACTGTGTTGATTAGTGTTTGTTCAACTGTTTGTCCTCTTTCTGCACATTGCTTATTAAAAAAAATGTAACCACACATCTCAGTGTATATTGTTTTTTAATTTATTGCTAACAAAAACAATACTGTTAAATGTACGCACAACATGTTGAGATGCGCTGCCGTGCATTGTAATGAACCTGTACAGTGTGAACAGGGCACATAGAAAAGTCTTCTGTGTAGCTCTGAGCTTGTGTTGATCTAGCTGATCAATGCACCTCGTGTGACGTCCTTAGGGCAGTGCACATCATGTTTATGCAGTAACACCCGCTTCAGTGTGATGCACAGCAACACATGTTACGCGTGCTGGTGCATTGAGGTGCCAGTCAGTCTGAATAGCATCCCATATCACCCTTTGATGGACATTCCTTACACTTCTAGTATGTTGCTGTGCTAATCAGACAAATGAGTTCAGTAACATCTGAAGGATGAATGGAAGGATGAATTTCTAATCTGGCCTGAGAATGCTGTAGAATCACAACAAATAGTTGGCATGGTCTGGAAAATTGTATGTCCTGGCTTACTTACAATGTGCTGGCTTACTGTACAAAATAATATGGCTCATTGAAAGTGATAGCACACAATGTGGGTGGAGCCTTAATGTATTTTTGTTTAATGGAATCCAGTAAAATGTATAAAATTTTATAACAAAGGTGGAAACCATAAAAATGTACAGTAGTTGTGGGACTCATATTTGGCATTTAGACCCATGAATTTTGCATTTAGGGACTAGATAAACAAATTATATCATGCTGCTCCTTAAATAGCTAGACATGGTTTAACCTGTTATCACCCATGTAAGACATCTGTGTCGTGGCAAAAAGGGTGGGCTTTAATGCCCAAATGCCACATAAATGCATACATGGATGGCCGAGGTTTCTGTGCTGGGAAAACGCTCACTGCACACTCCCAGCGTAGATACTGAGATGTCATAGTTAGCTCCTGGTGTCTGGTAATGATAAAGAGCTGGCAGGACTGGCTCCGGATTAGCCTGTCACAGTGTTCATGTGATTGAACAGCCTGTCCCGCCCCTCAGGCTGGAAGACCCATTTAAGGGATGCTGGGGCCAAAAATGTGTCATATAGTATGCTAATGTTTTAACCACTTGGCGACCCACCCACAGTAATTTTACTGAAGGTGGACATCATGTACATTGGTACATGCTAGGATATCATTGGTATCAGTGGATGGAATAGTGCCTCATCATTGCTGTCAGTGGATAGAATAGTTCCCCACCATTGGTGTCACTAGATGAAATAGTGCCCCATCAATGGTATCGGGGATGGAATAGTGCCCCATTGTTGGTGTCAGTGGATGGAAAATTGCTTCATCTCTGGTGTCAGTAGATGGAACTGTGTCCCATCACTGGTGTCAGTAGATGGAATGTGTCCCATCACTGGTGAGGATGGAACAGTGCCTCATCATTGATATTAGTGGGAGGAATAGTGCCTCAGCATTTGGTGTCAGTGTGTTAGGAATAGTGCCTCAAATCAGTGGGAGCAATACTGCCCTAAGGGCCAGATAAGAGCTAGCAAAGGGCCACAACCAGCCCTCGGGCCGCAGTTTGGAGACCACTGCATTAAAGGACAAGTTCACCTTTGGGAGCATATTACATGTTCCACCTGTTTTCAGGGTGGAACATGTAACATGTTCCCAGTGCTGCAGCCACTGCCAGATCCCCTCGCGACAGAAGTACTTGGAGAAGTTCCCTGTACAAGCTATCAATTTTTAAAAACAGTGCAACCATGTGGGGCTACATCCAGACGGCTGCATCATTCATTTACAGAGTTCTGTGAATGAATGAACTACAAGTCCCAACAGCCTTTGCGACTGCTTTTAGTTCTCAATGAACTACCATGGCGCTCCACAGCTCCGTGTTAGTTGATTGATTCTTCCTGTCAGTATACCTGCTTGCCCATACATCCCATACGGGGAAGCAGATATACTGACAGATCTGCAGGAGACCTGCATGTTTACCTGCAAAAAAGTGCATTTATTTTTTGTAAAAAGCGAAACTTTTCCTTTAACCAAAGCTGTTAATACATGCCGCCATATACAGTATATGTATTTTGATGTGCTGGCATTGACTCCTATGAGCTTCCCAACACACTAAAAAAACCCTGAAAAAATAGACTTACCATATTTTTCAAAATTAGATAAGAAAAGACACTATTTTTTATACTGGGGACATTGAGACATGTATTTTAGCACATTGCAAAATTGCATTAAAACGTAACAATATAAATGGACCCTAAGAAAGGAGTGAGGGCTCCTCAATAGTAGGGGACAGCTTAAAGCAGATGTAAATTATAAATGAAAAAACAAAGCCACCATAAAAGCAATTAATATGAAAAAGACTAGATTAAAAGTAAAAAAACATCATCTCATACATTTTAGCAAAGTAAGTAGAGGTCACTTGATTGTCATATTAAGTTTTCTAGTTTTCTTTGCAAGAGCTGTGTGTGAAGACATAAATCCATGGATGTCATCATCCATCTAGGGCTCCTAGTATACATGAGCCTAGATCTATAGAATGATCTATGAATGGAGGAGGGAGGCCTTTAATTTATCCACTTGTCCTCCATTCAAAGATCGTGTTTCATCCATAGAAGCTATAGTAAAACTCTTTGAATAGAGGAGGGGGTTGGAAAGGGCTGACATAGTTGGCACTCTTGTTGAGTACATATAATAGGCCCCGTAAGACAGTGGCACTGGAAGATTACAGCGGCAGAGAAGGGGTTTATTGGGGGACAGAATATCTCTAATTCTTCAGCCATCAGCACAAGGGACACATTGCATTGTGTCTTTTGCGCTGATTTTACGGCTTTAAGTGAAGATTCTCACGGATATATTATATTTTCATAACCTAGATATACATAATACAAAAGTAACTTACAAAAGCTTGATACAGTACTGTTTTATCTTTTATATGTTTGCACAATTATTGGGACTTAAAAATAATAATAATTAGATATATATTGTTTTTACACAATTTCATACACAATTTCATTTTTAGCACTATTGTTGTTTAAGCTAAGCACCTTGTATTTACTAATTGGTTTATTTGGGATTTAGTCACTGGGGAGGAGGGATATAATTGTCAGCCCACAGGGAATTATAGCAGATGCACATTTGTAGGAACCCTTTGTGTAGTATGGAGTTCATTCATTTATTTAATTATTTAAAGTCGTTTTTGGGAGAAGCAGCGCAGCAATTTTTATATATGTTGCCAGGGTCCGGGCTAAACCAAAGACCATATATATCCAGGCCATTGGGATAGCTGGGGTACACCGGTGTCATGGAGAACCCCAGCAGATGACATCAGCACTGGTAATATGCAGTAACATATATATACCGGTCATAAATGGTTATACAGCAAAATGAGGTCAGAAGTCAAAACCCATCTTCGTCCTGTAAACCCACCTACTTGTTGTTTTCTTCTGCACTGATCAGCTTACATTTTAGCTGATCTTTTTTTTTTTTTTTTTTGTACTATAGTTAAGTGAATTTTAAATTGAAGCACCACATTGTGATATTCATGTCCAAATACTATTTTTCCCATCATTTTGGAATAAATTATAAACAAGCTGCAAAAAGTTTTATTTGGACTTATCACAGTGTGGTGATTCAATTCTAAATTCACTTATCTACAACCCATTGTGGAAGACCTTAAGTGAGAAGAAGCTTCCAGGTCAATATTCAACTTTTTTATTTAATATTGCCATACTATATCACGACAGCAATAATAAAAAACAGCATTTAGAGAAACCAGGCATTTGTCTACTTTCCCAAGCTTCTTGATTTTAGTTGGCGTATGTCAGCTCAGTGTAATAAAAAAAAATTTAGTCAGTTATAGAACTGTGTGTGAATTTATAAAAACAGTGCTAACCCACCAGCTCAATAAATGCTATAAATCACAAAAAAATCAACTACAGCACCCCCCTATGTATACCATGCTATTTATACCATCATTTCCTTCAAAAAAAGTGCAATCATGCAATGAATGGCATCTAATGCTCAAATATATAACACAAATATGTAACTTGAACGCCTCTTATATAAGCAGCTTCTACAAACGAGTGTGCAAAATATTAAACAAATGAGTGTGAAAAATATTAAAGTGCTCCTGTGCAATATTCAAATCATGCAATGCCCCTGCTGGAGGACGTCCAATGATGAAACACGTAGTGCGGGACTTGGATGTGACGTCACTATGCACGGCGGGTCATAGTTTGCGGCACGAAGCAGCGGCCAGAGACGATCCTATTGCGAGAATGTACCTTATATACTTGTGTCAGTGGCAACACTCAGAAATGTGAGTTTAATGGAATGTTTTTCAATAAAGATTTGTTATGGTTCTACGCGATGAGAGCTTTTCTTCTTTTCTTTCTGATTCATATGACCGTATGAGATACAAAGGAAGGGCTCAGCAGAAAGGTTTGAGAGAAGGAGTGATTCCTTGCTGCGGGTTTCTCAGAAGGGTGCCTGGTGAGTTTATCTAATTTATTCGATGGTGGAAGAACACTTTTTGGTGGTGCATGATAAGAAGACACATAGAGTTTTTTTTTTAATATTTATGGTGGACTTTTTATATATGTTGGAGCACGCAATATAATCATCACAGTGGATTTTAAATTTGTGATATGAACTGCATGATTTGAATATTTATTGTACAGGAGCACTTTGTTTAATATTTTGCACACATTTGTTTAATATTTTGCAGACTCGCTGGTTATATAAGAGGGGTTCAAGTTATATATTTGAGTTATATACACTGCTCAAATAAATTAAAGGAACACTTTTTAATCAGAGTATAGCATTAAGTCAATTAAACTCCTGGGATATTGATTTGGTCAGTTAAGTAGCAGAGGGGGTTGTTAATTAGTTTCAGCTGTTTAATGAAATTAACAGATGCACTCGAGCAATAATGAGGAGACCCCCAAAACAGGAATGGTTTTACAGGTGAAGACCACTGACATTTTTTTCCCTACTCATCTTTTCTGACAGTTTTTTTTCCCTAGTTTTGCATTTGGCTAGGGTCAGTGTCACTACTGGTAGCATGAGGCGATACCTGGACCCCACAGAGGTTGCATAGGCAGTCAACTCCTCCAGGATGGCACATCAATACGTACCATTGCCAGAAGGTTTGCTGTGTCTCCCAGCACAGTCTCAAGAGCATGGAGGAAATTCCAGGAGAAAGGCAGCTACTCTAGGAGAGATGGACAGGGCCGTAGAAGATCCTTAACCCATCAGCAGGACCAGTATCTACTCCTTTGTGCAAGGAGAAACAGGATGAGCACTGCCAGAGCACTACAAAATGACCTCCAGCAGGCCACTGGTGTGAATGTCTCTGACCAAACAATCAGAAACAGACTTCATGAGGGTGACCTGAGGGCCCCATGTCCTCTAGTGGGCCCTGTGCTCACTGCCTGGCACCATAGAGCTCGATTGGGATTTGCCATTGAACACCAGAATTGGCAGGTCCACCACTGGTGCCCTGTGCTTTTCACAGATAAGAGCAGATTCACCCTGAGCACATTTGACAGATGTGAAAGGGTCTGGAGAAGCCGTGGAGAACGTTATGCTGCCTGTAACATTGTTCAGCATGACCATTTTGGTGGTGGGTCAATGATGGTCTGGGGAGGCATATCTATGGAGGGACACACAGACCTCTACAGGCTAGACAATGGCACCCTGACTGCCAGGTCTCAGAATAAAATCCTTGGACCCATTGTCAGACCCTACGCTGGAGCAGTAGGTCCTGGGTTCCGACTGGTGCATGACAATGCCCGGCCTCATGTTGGCGGCAGTATGCAGGCATACCTAAATCCAATAGAACACCTCTGGGATATCATCGGTCCATTCGACGACGCCAGGTTGCACCTCAGACTGTCCAGGAGCTCAGTGATGCCCTGGACCAGATATACCAGGAAATACCCCAGGACACCATCTGTCATCTCATTGGGAGCATGCCTCGACGCTGTCAGGCATGCATACAACCAATGAAAATTTCAGCAAAATGGACTAGCCTGTTGCATCGTTTTTTCACTTTGATTTTTGGGGTGTCTTTGAATTCAGCCCTCTGTAGGTTGATCATTTTCATTTCCATCAAACGATGGGGCATCCTCACGTTCCTAACACATTACCCAGTCCATATCAGTATAGATATCCAGCATGATTTTTTTTCCCCATTGAGATCTTATGTATTTTCAAAGTGTTCCTTTAATTTTTCTGAGCAGTGTATTTGGGCATTAGATGCCATTCATCGAATAATTGCATTTCTTTTGAGGGGGGGGGGGGGGGGGGTATAAATAGCACGGTAGATATAGGGGGTGTTGCAGTTGATTTTTTTGTGAATTATAGCATTTATTGAGTTGGGGGTGGGTTAGCACTGTTTTTATAAATTCACGCACATTTGTTTGGGAATCTACCAAAAAGAAAATAGCTGCTTCCCTATTACAACCAAAGATCCCCAGGGGTACTCTATGTTTTGTTTGTTTTCTAACAATTGCTCCAACAGTTGATCTATTTTCACCAAGCTGCTTGGCAATTGCCCCGTAGCCCTTTCCAGCCTTGTGGAGATCCACAATTTTGTCTCTGGTGTCTTTTGACAGCTCTTTGGTCTTGCCCATGGTAGTAGTTGGCGTCTGACTGACTGTGGGGTGGACAGGTGTCTTTAAAGAGCTCAGACAGGTGCTACTAAGTTAGATTAATGAGTAGAGTAGAGCTGGACTTTTTAAAGGCACAGGTCTTTGAGAGCCAGAATTCTTGCTGTTTCTTAGGTGTTCAAATCCTTATGTTCAGCAGTGCAAGACAAACAAATTCTTTAAAAATCATACGATGTGATTTCCTGAATTTTTTTTTTAATTCTGTCTCTCAGAGTGGGAATGCACCTACAATGTGAATTTCAGACCCCTCCATGATTTCTAAGTGGGAGAACTTGCAAAATCACAGGGTGTTCAAATACTTCTGTTCCTCACTGTATACACTACAAGTGTCTTAGGTGTAAAGAATGCAGACTGGACTTCTGTTTAATCTCATTGTATTCACAGGATCGACATTCAGAGTGAAGATTTGGTTGGTCACAGGCCTTCAGAGGACGTCGTTACAGCTTTGAAATTGGCGCAGTATTTTATTGAGTTTGGTCCAGAGAAGGTATATGGTATTTAGAGAATGTACCATTATTTTTCAGTAGTATGCCCAAAGGTCTGGACCTTAGTGCACTGCCATCACCCCTCTGCAATGACAAAACAGCGCACATACCAGTAAATTATACCACACGCCCCACCAACGAACACTACTAAACCACTATTCACTGACTTATTCCAATATTCTCTCACTAATTCACTCTTTTCAGATCCTTGTGTAATACTGGAATACATTGCTTACAGCGGTATTAAACCCAAAATCAGGTATTTATTATATTGCAGCTTACCAATCCTTACATGTGATGACTGCATTTGTAAAACCTTTATCCCAAAAGGAAACAAAAACTGCTGTAACTGCTTATCAAATATTAGCTGGAGTTTGGCTTCAATGTGTAAGTGTATTTAAATCTGATAATACATTTAACATTATCCTCCCCCCTAACTGACAATGTTGCTGTGCCTCCTGTGCTTATTCCAGAGTGGTGTCTTACTAATATTGGAGGTGTGTTACTGGCCAGATCCCCAGGTGAAAACGGGAAAAAGTCAAAGAAAAGAAAACTGATGCAGCCACCACATTGAATGATTTGTAAGCTGCAATCAATTAAATTTTTGATTTTGGATTTAATACTGCTCTAAAAGTGTATGTCCAGTCAAAACTTGTTTTCTTAGTTTTGGAAAGAATGGGGAAGGATTAGAACTCCTTTTTATAGTTATGTGGGGCTCCAATACAGAGATTTTTCATCTTCTGTTCGCAGTGCCTTAACTAACAGGTTGTAATGAAAACTCTGCAACAGCAACGCAGAGAGAGTTCAGAAGCTCACAGAAAATGTTACTGCATTCTCCTGCCTTATTGTAAGAAATGATTTCATAAAAATTAGATTACTGGCTCTTGGTTGCCCCTTTGCAGTTGTAATCCAGCTTCTGTTAAAGTGTTACTTAAACCCACAACAGTAAAATCAGTCTGTATATGCAGTAAAACATGCTTGTTATACTCACTGGAACCTAAGGGGTTAATCCTCCATTTGTGTAAAAAAGCTGTTTGATCCCATCTTCTCTGTTCCTCCCCTTCTTCCACACTCCCCAATCCATCTGCTGTTAGTACAGAGCCCTAGTAGGCACTCTGCTAAATGGTCTTAATGGTACTTAACCACTAGCCTACAGGGCACTTATACCCCCTTCCTGCCCAGGCCAATTTTCAGCTTTCAGCGCTGTTGCACTTTGAATAACAATTGCGCAGTCATGCAACACTGTACCCATTTGAAATTTTTATCAGTTTTTTTTTGTGACAGATAGAGCTTTATTTTGGTGGTATTTAATCACCTCTGGGTTTTTTATTTTTTCTTAAACAAACCAAAAACCACTGAAAATTTTGAAAAAAAAGTTTTTCTCTTAGTTTTTGTTATAAACTTTTGTAAATAAGTGATTTTTCTCCTTCACTGATGTGCGGTAATGAGGCTGCACTGATGGGCACTGATGGACACTGATAGGTGGCACTGATGAGGAGGCACTGGTAGGTGGCACTGATGGACATTGACAGGCATCACTGATGGGCACTGAAAGGTGCACTCATATATGGTACTGATAGGCAGCACTGACGGGCACTGATGCACACTGATAGGCGGCACTGACTGGCACTGATAGGTGGCACTGACTGGCATTGATAGGTGGCACTGACTGGCACTGATGTGTGACACTGAAAGGCAGCTCAGCTGGGCATTGATATGTGGCACTGATGGGCACTGAAATGTGGCACTGATGGGCACTGGCAGGTGGCATGGATGAGCACTGACAGCTGGCACTGATGGACACTGACAGGTGGCGCTGCTGGGGCTACACAGATCATCAGGGCACACTGATTATCAGTGCTCGTGGGGAGAAAAATGCCGATTAACTGGCATTTCCCTGTTTACATGTGATCAGCTGTGACTGGACACAGCTGATCACATGACCGAGCCGCCATCTTCGGCTCTTTCTGTGGATCGGTGATCTGCTGTGTCTGAGGGGTGGACAGGTGTCTTTAAAGAGCTCAGACAGGTGCTGCTAAGTTAGATTAATGAGTGGAGCAGAGGTGGACTTTTTAAAGGCACAGTAACAGGTCTTTGAGAGCCAGAATTCTTGCTGTTTCTTAGGTGTTCAAATACTTATGTTCAGCAGTGCAAGACAAATAAATTCTTTAAAAATCATACGATGTGATTTCCTGTTTTTTTTTTTAATTCTCTCAGAGTGGGAATGCACCTACAATGTGAATTTCAGACCCCTCCATGATTTCTAAGTGGGAGAACTTGCAAAATCGCAGGGTGTTCAAATACTTCTGTTCCTCACTGTATGAGTAAAAAATAAATTATGATTTGTTTTGAGTTTTTCTTTAAATAAAATCCTTTTTTTTATTTCTTATTTCATAAAATTAATGGCAAAACTGAGTCATTTCATTAATGGTGCTGTGTCCATTTAGTGTGGCGGTTATTCTTTTTGCTTGCAAATGGCCAAGGTGGTTTGTTTTTTTTTTTTTTTTTTTTTTTTTTAACTGCGGGGAAAAACAAATGTTAATGCCTGAACACAATTCTGCAACTTTGACACGTGTTAGTAAAACTGTACATTTATTATCACATGAAAACTGTCCCAAAATAGTAAAAAAAAATATATTATTTTTAAATTTAGCTGTATATTTCTTCCTATTACCATAATTTACCAACAACGAACAACAAAATAAGTTTTCCTGTTTGTACTCGTAGTATGGCCCAGAAACAATGGTACGCATTTTGCTTTTTTATCCTGCCAAAAACACACTGACACTGATACTAATTTAAAAAAAAAAAATCATACCCAAAATATACTGCCCCTGACCTCTGACCCCAACATTTGACCCTGATCTTTTGACCTCTACCTTGACCTTTGACACTTACCTTGACCATAACACTAACCCTGGCAGTGTCCTAGATCAAACCTTGATTTAGTAATTTTTTTTTTTTAATTTTTCTTATTAGTACAAGAATCGGGACTTTCGGAGAAAGCCCAGTCTCTGTGCTGGGAGCGTGTTGTGTGCACAAAGAGTATCCAGAGCACCTTGGGTTATGTGAAGATAGAGCACAGCAGCAGTTGCTTACATTCATGCAGGCTGCCTCAAACAAGATATGTGAAAAAAAGCCCCAAGCTTCATCTGATTGATCAACAGAGAATGCAAAATATCGATATGCAATATTTTATATTTTACTAAAGGAAAAGCACTTTTAAATTGTATGACAATAATAATAAATAAATTATGTGCAAAACCATTACCCATTCCTTTGAAAAAGGAGCTTATCAGGGCCTCAATCAAAGTATAAACCCAATAGTAGTGTGGGCTGGTTTATACTTGCATTTGGGGGGCAATAAAAACACATGGCTGCTATGCATTTTTACAGTCCCCAACTGCTCCCGCTGCAAAGGCAACAGACGGGGCTGTACTCAAGCACAGCATCATAGCTGTATCAAGAATTAAAACCTCCTGTCACATTCAGTGAGCAGTGCTACGCAAGTGGATTTTAGGGGTTCAAACAGGCAGTGAGGAGTCAACTGGGGTAGTTGTAAGGTGCTGGGATGGCTGGGGTTGGAGACATAGTACAAAGTTCCATAAAAGGCATTATGTTGATTCCTCACTAAGAAGAAAAAACAGGGAGCGCTGCCAGTTGTAGATATATTGGTAAAACAAAAGGAAAAATGAAAAATTTCACTCACATTAAGGCTCCATGCACACTGGGCATTTTAATAATGCTGGTAGCTGTGTAAAGTCATGTTAAAAACGCTAGTTTTTCAGCTTTTTTGCATTAGCATTTAGCTGTGTTTTTCCGCGTTTGCAGTTTTTTTTAGAGCTTTTTACCATGTTTTGCCGCGTTTTTCAGCATTATAGCATTTTTACAGCTAAAAAACTCCTATAGAAAACCACTAGTTCTGGGGTTTTTTCCCAGCCAAAAAACGCTGATTAAAGCCTATGTGTGCATGGACACATAGGATAACGTGGAAAAAAAACGGCAAAAGCCAAAAACAGCAGCTGTTCAAACGTCCAGTGTGCATGAGGAATTATTGTGCAGATAAAAGCGTGTGACAGCCACTGTGCAGGACTGCAGAGCTCGGCAGGGTCATGGCTGGGTAGGCGCTGCTCTTAACAACAGGTCCATTTGATAGAAGTCGATACAGTGATTGGCTTCTGACGAACAGAGAGGGCTATACACAGATCAAACTTCGGCTGATCCCTGTTGAACCAGCTGAATTTTGATCTGTATGTACCAAGCTTTAGTTATTTCCGGAAGTGTCTCCTAATAGACTTGTTTGTTTAAAGTGATCCAATCACTCAGGCTGAAAATGAAAGTAAAGCTCCCCTGTAAAAAGAAATTCTGTATATTTATCTTTCCACTGACCCATGCTTAAATATTTCCCAGTGTAGTGATCCCCATTGGCTGTAGCTATCTGCACCTCCAGGGGTGCCAAATACCTGCTCCCCCCCCCCCAACATGCAGTGGTTCCTTCCACTAGCTTCTACATAACTACTAGCAAGTGGGAGCAATTACAGCATGCAACAGGGGAGCAGGCATTTGACTCCATAAATGTAAAGTATAGAGCATTCCTTTTTACAGGGAGGATTTGTATTTCATGTTGACCACTTTAATATAAGGTATAATTATGTAGTCATTTTTTGATATAAAAAAAAAAATTATTGGTTTGGCAGTCAAACCAATCATGCAAATCAAACTGCCATCTAATGTTTGTGGCGAGTACTGGAGGTTTGGGTCAACTTTCTAATATGAGAATAAGCAAAAGGTTAAACAAATATCTTTTTTTCTCAAATATGCAACTACTAAATTATGTGAAAACAACTAACCAAATCACTAAAAAATGTTTAAGCAAAGCAATACATTTTCCACCCACATGCTTTTTCTTGAGAATGTCACTTCACACATGAAGGATGTGGTTTATCAAGGTTAATACAAAATACATTCTAAGAGTAACCATTAACCATCAATTGAATTTATTTTCTATCAGAAATAAAGATGAAAGGCCTTATGTATACCTGCGGGACTAGCAATGAAAATATATTTCCTTTGTTTGCAGTTTTTGATAGATGTACAGTAGTAGTGTTTATGTGTATTGCTTTAAATGGTTTTATATATTTTTTTTTGTAATCTGAATTTTTATTTTGCCAGGTAAATACAAAATACAATATATAAATAGTTTGTATTAACTACTCTTAGTTTTTATGTATGCTTACTTACCTAACCCTAGCTGTTTTTCACAATATGCTGTAGAATAGACTATATTCAGCAAATACAAATGTGGCTGGATGAGCCTTACTGCTGGTACTTGCCCACAGTACTGATACATGTATGTAAATTCCTTCGTAAAAAGGCAAGGATGGGTAGTATAGTAAATGCGCATATTTGCATTGCGTTTTTAGGCATCCGTATGCAAGAGACCTTACCCTGTACAACTTCATAGGGGTTTCAGTTAGAGGAAGTAACCGTCAAAAAGGGAGAAGTCTGCTGTAGGAAAAACATTGTTTATAGAAAAAAATGTATTCTGTAAATATATACTATATACTACATATATATATATATATATATTCATTCATTCAGTTTTAAAGTGTTAAAAAATACATTTCCATTGCCCAATCACTATGATTCTGTAATCAGATGCAGTTTCTGCTTTGACAGCTATGCCCTTTATGCTTTGTGATTGGTGCTGTTTAATTGCCTATAAACTTAAGCCAATTAGAAAAAAACAGAAGAGGACTGCTGTCATTTTTTAAAAAGGAAAGGTGACCTAAAATGACAAGGCAAAATCAGTTTCTCTTATAGAAAATCTATATACTGTATCATACGCTGTTGTCAAGTGGAGGAAATCTGAAAGAGATGTTTGGGAACAAAGGAAATTTGCAGTACAAGTATGATTCAGGGCCAAGCAAATATCTAATTTTCTTTCTTGAGGCCGATCTGCAACTCAGATAAAATGTAAAGTTAGTAGATTGTGCACCAGAATGGTATCACAAAATCACGTTTTGGTAACTGTTGCGTTCTGTAGTCTGGGAGGCGTAGTAATTTTAGGGGGAATTTACTAAAATTGGAGTAGGCAGATTCTGAGGTAGCTACTCGTAGTAGCCAATCAGTTTCTAGATAAAGCTTGATAAAGCCTTTAAGGCCTCCTCCTCTGCTTTTGGTAAAGAATTGTCACTTCTAGGCGATCAGAAGCTGAAGCTGACTCACTCCCCGCAGTCTTTTGGGACACATGACAGGTCCCAGAAAACTGCGGGACCATTTACAATGAGCAGTGATGCTTGCGCATGCACAGTGGGCACCCAGCTATGAAGCCGCAAGCTGTCACAGCCTTTTGCCCACAGTTAATTTGCCAACTCTGGCAACCCCTCGGATCCTGGTACAGATAAGTGTCTGATTATTAAAAATCAGCAGCTACAGTTTTTGGAGCTGCTGACTATTAATTTTCAGAAAACTGACTGGAGCTCCTCTTTCAGTTAAGCATTGAAAATGAAATTTAGAACTTGATGCAAAGCTGGAACTAACTTGAATATAGACAAAATTATACATGTAAAAACTGTAAAAAATTACATCTACAGGTCAGAGGTATGAACTTTGCAGTGTACTTCATTTTTTTTATATAGGCCTCGTTCGCATGGGACATACAATACCATATGATGATGCAGGGCCATGTTTACCTGCATGGGGATGTACTGGTGTTCTGCACATTCCGTGCAGGCAGGCCCATTGATGTCTATTGGGATACAGTGTCTGCACGGACACAGCCGCTGTGTCTCAATATGACATTCATGT